AAAAAAAAAAATATTATTACTGGTATAAATACACATAGCTGGATGTCGACAGTGCGTTGCGGAGCACAATATTAATTGATAAATAATAAATACAAATGAAACTAGGCCTACTGTTAAAATGGAAAATAGAAGTCGAAATTTTGCATGTATTTTGATATTCAAAGCACAAGCTGTATAGGTAGAAGTTCATGATCGACAATTAACTACCAAGATTGCACTCAAGAGACAGATACAAAATTCCTGGCGATTATATGTTGTGCCACCGTCACTCAGGAAGTGATGGCCGACCTGGAGGAGAGCAAGTACCAGAACGTGGAGCTGAGGTTGTCCGTGTACGGACGCTCCAGAGACGAGTGGAACAAGCTTGCCAAGTGGGCCGTCAAACATCAAGTCTACTCGGACAATGTGCGCTGGCTTGTACAAATGCCCAGACTTTTGTAAGTGAAGCACACACAGATCTTTTCCTCAAATCTCCAGCAAACATAAATAACACATGGCTTTTATTTTCTTCCAAGTGATGTCTACCACAGCAAGAAGCAGCTGTCCAACTTCCAGGAGATGCTGGAGAACATTTTCCTGCCTCTTTTTGAAGTCACAATCCACCCAGGCAAACATCCTGAGCTGCACCTCTTCCTTCAGCATGTACTGTATAATGTTCACGTCAAATCATTGCATCTAATGCACACCCTGAAAGTTTCAATTGTATCGGTCCCTCTTGCAGGTTGTCGGTTTTGACAGTGTGGATGATGAGTCCAAGCCAGAGCAGCATATCTTCAACCTTGACAGCCCGCTGCCGGCCAGCTGGACGGATGAGGACAATCCGCCCTACTCCTACTACCTCTACTATATGTATGCAAACATGACCGTTCTGAATCACCTGCGCAGGTATGTGGATTGTGTTTCGATCCATTGGCTTCATTCATTTCGATGTGCAGAGGAAATTGTTGGAATCAACAAAAGTCCTCTAGTTTCTATTTATGTATGATGTTACTACAACTGTACAATGGAGATACAATATATCATATCGTAA